AATTCTAAAACACTTGCATTTACAGTAATCGCTGCCTATTGTGCTTCACACTTGTTACCCCAGCGCCTCTGCGTTTTTGGCAGATCCTCGAAAACTGCTCCTGTGGATGAAGGAAATGCCAGAACAGAGTATAGTGAGCTGAAATGCCGAAGCGACGAAGAAGTGTGACACAGCTTGTATCTCAGTCCAGAAAAATAAATGAACCGTGGCTGCAAGCGCCAGCACACCAGTGATCTGATCACAAGACGCTGAGGACTCGGTCATAACGATTGCGGAAATATTACAAACTACGGAAATGTCACGATCGCGGAAACAGTAGCTTCAAAATATATGTCGGTGAAACGACGGCTAATCAAGTGTGCGTTCAAGCTGCATTACAGTGTGAACCAAAAACCTTTTGCAGAATTTATTTGGAATTACTTGCTTAAAATAACAGCACAGATGGCCGATGCGAAAATAATGGTTTATGTGACAATTTGTCAACATGCATAGTTAAGTGAAAATGCGCCAAATAAGACCAACAGTAGCTTTCTATGGAAGTTTTGTGCTACAACAACTGCACAAGACGCATATTATTACGAACCTCTGTGTGTGTGTGTGTGTATGCATGTGCACATTTTTTTATGTGTGGTTTACCAAGAGCAATCTGCCTGAGATTTTCAATTCAAGAACCGTGTAAGTTAGGAAACTGAAATCTTGGAAGGTCCTCTACCCATGTAGGACCGCACAAATTTAAATTTAGTCCTCGAGTACACCTCACGCATGGACACGTGAAAATTGTGGAGGGGAATCTGCTAACTCAGGAACTGCAAAAGCTAGACAACTGAAATTTTATGAGTTTGTTAAATGCCTACATGCGATCCGAAGATTTCAAATTTAGCTTTCAAGTGCAACTAAGTCTCACGTGAAGATACGTGAAGTTTTTTCGATAAAGTTGTACACTCGAGAACTAGAAGAACTGTGAAGTTAAAATTTAAGGTAGCTGCTACGTGCTTATGGGTGACACCGAATTTTAGACCTACCTTCCATGTACGTCTTCAGACACGCGTATTTTGGCGCGAAGTTTTCCGACTTCAGAACCAAGGAGATATCTGAAGTTCCAGGATTCTTCCTGGCCATATGTAACAGCAGAAAATTTCTGTTCAGTTTTCATGTACTTCTAGGACTCGCGTGTGGACATGAAAGTTTTGCGCGATCAGCGCATTCCGACAATTCCTACACATATCCAACAGTAAAGTAGTGAACAATTTTAGGAGGCGTTCGCTGCACAAAATGCTTTATATTGCCAGTTATTCTGGTATGCGCAGCTATTTATTAAAATGTAATCTGCAGTAGCCTGAGCAGCGCTCGACCTGAAGTTACATTACTTCACAGTTCCAAGAAAATCAGTTTGTAAACACATACTGTCTCAGGCGTTCCAACTTTCGCATACAAATGGGAATTTATAGGGCGGACTGATCACTGGGAAGTTTAAAAGGCATCGAAGGACAAACAACTGTGCAGTTTAACGGAGCACTGTTTAGCACAACTGAGCTACAGAACACCACCAAAGACACCGTAACTTGTGAAAGACAATGTGTACAAACTTTTGCACGCTCACAATTCTAACAAGGTCCAACATACGGGCTGATACAGACAGAAGGCAACAAAGCATCAAATTCTGAAATGACAATAGAAAACAACTGCTCAGGCAGTTTTACAAAGCAGACGGGTAAAAAATGAAGAAACCGGTGAAACATAGTTTACTGAGGAAATTGACGCTAAAACTGCGTGTTGTGAAATTCTGAAAATTTTTCATTTCGTACTTTTTGGAGTAATGGAAACTTTTTCAGCATTTTCTCTCCAGAGAAGCGACAAATTTTTCATCAAAATATCATTAAAAATCCGCGTCAAATCAACGAATCAAACACTACCCCCAGCGCTGAGAGATGCGGAAGTACTGAACAAAGTATGGAGAACAATCACATTTCCCGACGGGCTCTAACAGCCAAGAAACTGGGCCAAACTCTGTTGCACAAAGGACAGTATGAGCTTCG